GGATCTGGCATACTTCTAGCCAAGGCTCATAGTTGGTACATTTCTTCCTTGTTTATTGATGGAAATAAATCAAGAGCTCCTTTTCCTAGAATGCCACTGAGTCTAATCTTCCTCCAAGAGCTTTGTGGCACTGATGACAACACATTCCTCTGCACCGCTGCCCTCAGCCAAATTTTTTCATGATGTGATTGTCATGTCATCCAAAGATAGTGGGTTAATTGTGCATAATTTTTGTTTTGCACAAGTAAAAAGAACTATTTCTTTTACTTCAAATAATTTAATAGATGTTTTTATTTGACATAATATTTTTTTATCAATCTAAAGAATATTATAGAAACCCCTTGTATGTAACCAGGGACCTCACATGTCTAGTTATGCCACTGTCGTCAATTGTATTGATGTAAGCTAGCACTCATTAATAGTTGCTTCCTGAATTAATACTGGCTACATGGCCTGTTCTAGTGCTGTTGGGGTGGGACAAGGATAGATTCATACTGAACAAACCTTGCACAAACTAGAATATATTTGTTTGCAATATAGTATTGCCACTTAACCCATTGGATCAGGTTGCATCACGGAAATCACAGTGCTGAAAATACGGGCAGTGGGTTACTTAAGTAGCCAACTTCCCGAGCATGTGATCATGAAGGCCAGGCATGTATGAACACCCATGAGCAGTGACAAGACTCTGTGCCACCCCTTTGCAAAGTTATTTTGTGTAAACTTTTTTAGCCTTTTTGACAATTTTCATTGTCCATATTTGTCTTTTGATTTTAATTGCTTATTCTCCTTGCACAGACCATATCTCTATGTAATAAATAACTCATAATTTTAAATTTTTCGTAATACAGCCTGTGCCGCCAGTCACAGGGGCCAGGAATCCTGTGCGCAGCATGGAAATGGCATCCTCCCATTGTTCTTTCACATTTGTTTAGTAATGGGAATAATTCTAAAACGCCCTTCTAAGTGCCAAATGAGTTAAACCACCCGCCAAGAGGTGTGTTCACTCGTGACGAGTCTTTTCTCTTTTCTGTCACCCTGGCCTTCTCTCGTGACAGCATTTTCATATCACTCAGCCCTCGACCCAGATTTTTCCATGATGGGACCAGATCATCCAGATCCTAAAGGTTAATGCCACGGTCTACAGATGTCAGTACGGAATGTTGCATTCTAGGGGTATGTGTTGATTCTTACACAGAATACAGATTTCTAGACTGTACAGCAGAATAGTGATACTACAGCTTTTTATTCTTAGTTGATAAAGAAGTGAGTAATTCTCCCACACTCTCTTGTAAAGGCTGATGGAGCTACTAACTTTGGACAGATGTTTGACAAGGTTTTTGTTGATGATGATGTCTTTGGGGACCACATGATGAGATGCTTCATTGCATTAAGTGTGTTGTCAGCAATGCCAATTTGCATGGGCCTGTACTTTACTCATGGAGGAGGCTAGGGCATTATTTGTATCGTCTTGAGGCTAATGGTAAGGCCATATGCCTTGGTTGCCTCAGCAGAACTATTTACCATGTGCTTGTGTTTTTCTCTTTATTGTAAAGCCACACTAGTTTTGCTACTCTCAACTGCAGGAAAGAATAATATGTTCAGATTAGTATGTGCTGTTATCTCTCCTGCCATTGAATGATTCCCTATTAGTAACTTTTCACCAGTGTTTTTATACAAAGAAAGGAGGATTAAATCTCTTGAAATACTGTGAAATATTGCTCCTCTCCCAACAGCAAGTAAACAAGCAGTTGATGCTGTGCCAAATGCTGGAAGAATTGACCTAGGATGCCATGAGTTAAAAGAAAAAAAAATCTGGTAAATTCTTTGTCATAATCCACTGACCAAGGTTGCTTTATGACACCTGTTTCTATTGAAAATGGTCTTCTAGTCCTCATCATTTATGTCTCAGTGACTGTAATAGATTCTCAGTCTTATGGATAAGATATGATATGACTCCATGCATTGTAGATATATACAGAAACTATGTCTTGGTATGAAAATGAAATCATATGTGCAAAATAAAAAACAAATAATAAAAGCATTTGTCGTCAATAATAATAGTTACTGATAATGAAATTTCTATATTTTTCAGCCACTTGCATAGAAATATATCAATGAGATTCTTGACCTGTGAACCAAATCTGAAACATCAGGAGAATTATGTTGATGAAGCAGACATCTTTGAAAGGAACCCCATGTCTTGGCTGCAACAAGAGTACAACAGTATTCCTACAGAAGATTCTACTATCAGTGAGCAAAAATTGCATGAAGGGAAAAGGAACTCATTTGGCAAGAGTTTACCTTCACATGTGGTCTTATTTGACGTTCTAGTTGACAAGGTTTATGATTTTCTCAGCAGAAATGGCTTTCGGAAATGCCATGAGATATTTCATGCCCATGTTGAAGATGGGAGACGAGGGAGGTTTATCCATATCTACTGCAGAGTGTAAGTGAAGGAATTCAATACTTAATTTATCTATTCATTCAAAATATAGATATATATGTGCTTTATATATCTACACACATATATATATATATATAACATGCACACATACACCCATGCACTCACACACCCAAATGCACCCACACAAACACGTACATCCATACATACACATTTATTTTGTCTGTCTGTCCAACTATGTATCAATCTATCTGAATGTAAAAGGGTATATTCACTGGCAGATTTAGAAAATTTTACTTAGGTACACAGGGTTTTTTATTAATTGGGGTACCCAGAATTTAATAATATTTTATATTGTTTTTTTAGGACATGTTTCTATTTGTTTTAGTAATTTAAGCATCTTATAGATACATGTGAGATTTGTTCTTTATAACTGCAGTTTTAAGGGGTAGCAGTGGGCAGTTGCTGGAGGGGTAGGGACTGCTCTGCATTTTTCCCTGTAGATGTGTCACAATGTATATAAGAACATGCACACACAAAAAGAAATGATATAGACACTGTATAGGTAAAGCTATACATATTTTTTCTACATCTTATATTTGCTCAAATTGATAATTGTGTAAAACGAAAGAATAGATGTGATTATTATCATACTTCTTTAAGTATTCTGTTTAGATAAGCAAAATATATCGACTATCACTTTTTCAGAGCTATAATATGCAATGATATTATAATCACATTTATTTCAAACTTGATATCTCATGTTTGAAATGTGATATTAGTGCCTGTTGTTAACAAGTCATTCCATTACCAAAGTGATCAAAATTGAAAATGCAGGCATTTCAGGATTTTTTTTTGAAGTAACCAGGACTTTTTGACTTTGACAAGTTTATTGAGACAAAAGGTTACATCTCAAAAGGATGTGGTAACGTAGGTTATCCTCACCCTTATCTTGATAAGTCCCTGTGTGGGCTCACAGTTCTCATACAAAAATTTAGCTGTATTACCAAATAATAACATAAAATACAAAAACAAAAATATTGAGAGTCATGGTCTATAAAAGAGAAAGTTCATGCACACACTCACTGATGAGCTGTGAGGTACCGTAGGCGACCCGTGTGTGCAGCTGTTATTTGCGAAGGACAGGCACTCAGGTCATCCCGGTCAGGTCACCTGTTCTTTGTTGTACATATTTTGTGAAATCCGCTGTCTGAAGTCTAGACAATAATGCTATAAGACAACACTATGCATTACCTTGCCTTTCCATTCTTCCAGCATATCATTAAGCTTTGCCAAGTTTTGTTCAATTTCCCATCGATCCAAGAGTTTTTCTTTTTCGTGATCGTTGCACTCCACACTTGTTATTTTTCTTTCCTTCCCTTTAATAATTATCTCACTTTCTGGGTCCTGCTCCTTTGCAGAAATACATGTTTGTTTCGTTTCTGTGTCTTTAGTCGGAGTTTCTTTCGATGCCTCATCCCTCTCTTTCTGTTTTTTCGTTTCTTCGCTGGGAACCTGGGCCAGTTTCCTTTCGATAGCGTCCATTCTCTGCATCAGCGTCTGGAACATCCTGGTAATTACGGATATTTCCTTAGAAAAATCCGCACCACTACTCCGCGGCACTTCCTTCACTTCCTGCACCTGTCTGTCCTGCCCGTCATCACAAGCCATTGGCGACGGCACCACCCGCGGTGGGCCCTGCACCCAGGCATTAGGGACAACAGCTGTCTCCTCCCTCGGCACCTCTGGCCGCGTGGTGACCGGCCTTTTTCCATTTTCTTCCTTGGGGACCACCGAAGCAATCTTGATTTGTGGCCTCACCCTGCATGCAGGAGACCCGGCATTGTGGCGCCCTCCGCAGTTGCAGCAGCAAGGCATAACCCTTTCCCCCTTTTCAATCTTGGCCCGGCAGACTCTTGAGTCATGTGTCCTGCCACAGAACCTGCATCGAGCATCCTGTTGACAGGCCCACGACTTGTGTCCCCACCTGCAGCACTTGAGGCACATGACTGGCGGCTCCACATACGGTGCCACCCTCCTGTACCCCGCTCCAGAGATGAATACCTTCTCTGGCACTTCCCCCCTTCACAGGGGCAAACGACTCCGCTCCTCTCTCCTCGCCCTGGACGTGTGCCGCCTTACCCACACAAATCTATCGTCGGCCAGTAGGAAGTCCGGGTCTAATATCGTGGGATATCGGAAAATTATCACCTTGGTGAACTTTTCCCCAGCCTTTGGGACAGTCATCACTGTCCCCTTGTATCCCTGAGTCGTCAGCGTCTGCACCGCCTGGCCTGCCCGCACCGTGAGATACGGCCTTCCCTTCTTCCTTCATCACTGGCTCGAAATCAGCGTGGTCCCAGCCCAGTTGCATGGCCCACCTTAATTTTTCCAAGAAACTCATGGCGCAGTCCTGTGGAAATAGCAGTCTTTTCCTATCGTTCACACCGGCAACATTCTGGTCTGCTGCTTCGTTTCCGTCGTTCTTCTTCCTCTTCTCCCGCTCGCATCCATTCTCGTCACTCATGTCTATGCTTCCATCACTTCTTACCCTCTTATGGGATCCACTTCCACTAGCAACACTAGCCATGCTGATACCTTGGTAGGAGGTGACCCGCTCCCTGTCCGAGGTCAGATAGGGGCGGGTAAACACAGGATTCGGGGACCTCACGTCTGAGGACAGTACTGTTAACACATCCTAGTCCTACGAGAGATACACTACGACTGAAGTAACCAGGAGATATGGAATAAGAGACAGTATAGACAGTTTTAACTTAATGATGCTGAGGTGACATGATATACATTCTGTGTGTACTGTGGTTTTAGTTTATTAATTTTGTTTACACTTGAATGGCTTCACAAGTCCTTATTCACCATGGAGTCAATTATTAGTCCAACATATGCCACCTGTTTTCCCTCCTCCTTGGTATTTGGAAAGATTTCTTTTTTCTTTTTTATTGCTGATAGTATGATAATCATGATGTCAATGATCATAACAGTATGGATTTTATTAGTGTTAGGAAAAAAGAATCAAGGAATGGAGAAATCAGGTGAGGTCACATAGGGTGTGGGGAATAATACCTGAATAATTAGATTACTAATGACCTTAGCCTAGAAGAAGGCAATGGTGAAGCATGTCCCCCATGTGCTGTATTGTGCAATCTCTAGAAAGTAGTGATTGATCACAGCCATGGCCAGGTCTAATAAAAAATCTACCTGCTCAGTTCAATGGTCCAAGTACCTGTGAAAAGCATGGCTATTTACAGTAGCCAGATCATATAAATAGAAAAAAATATATTTATACCACTTCAGTACCGTCACTGTACTGAATGACATATTGAGATTCATGACCTGGGGACCTCCTTAAACTGTAACATTGCCATGGCTGATGTGTGGATGGTACTAAGCAGGTACGAAGACAGGTTCTCTCTTCGTACCTCCACACAACTTTGTTGTGATAGCCCCTCTCGTTTGTAAAGAGATGCTGCCAACTCTCAGTTTCACAATTGCCATGTATGACATTTCAATCCAACAGGCCTTGATGAGGCTGACTAGAGAAGGTGGAAGAGTGTAATCATCACTCAATCCTTCATACGATGAAACATTGAGCTCGGGTAGGATTCTCCATGCTGAATGATATCTCACCCCTTGAATATTCCTGAAAGGAACACTGTAACATGAGGTCAGCTGTTCAAAGTGTGGAAGTAGTAGCAGAAATTAGAGTAGTTAGAGTAGGTGAGGTTAATGGACAACCAAGTTATATGAGGATACCTCGCACAACAGTCATCGTGATATAATATCTGCACAACATTGAATCACCCCCATCATACAAGTTTGCAACCTTCCTTCCAAGTCATACTGTCCATACAACATAGAAACCATGCACTGGGGTTGTAGGTGGTGAAGGAAAGCTGTGCTAAGATTTAAACTAGGCCTCATTCTATGTGCGGCGAGACAAGAAGAATGACAACGAGGTTTTTCTCTCTCAACTTATTCCAAAATAGTCCTTCACTCTGCTCCCCCATCATCTTCACAAGATGTTCCTGCATCTCCCCCAGTATCTCTTCCCTATACCTTAAACCATCCTACATCTTCTTCCCCCAGTCAAATTCGTTTTCCAGTCTAAATCCAGATACTCCAATCTCTACAACTTCCTCGATACCTACCCCTCCTCCTCACTTTATTTGTCGCACCAGGCAACCTAAACTCCACTCCACCCTCTCCTTCTACATCCTCTCCTAGACCTTCCTCTTGTACTGCTTCTCAGATATCTATCTCCTCACTCATTGGCTCTACCCCCTTAACCTTTCCCATTTTACTAATTCCTGCTCTACATCATTTACTTCCCTCTTTTCCCTTTTTGTTACCATACTTTCCGATAACACCCTCTAATCTTTGACATCTAACATCCCACCTCCCCTGGATTCTTTTCACCATTTCTAGTTAGAGGGCATTAAAGTAAGGAAGGCATATTTCCACAGCCATCTTTTATATCAAGCCAGAAGGAACTTTCTTGGCTAGCTGTCAAGTGGGAGGCTTGGTTCATCTTGATTTCCTGACAATAGACTTTATCAGTTTGCTCAAGCCGTGACTATTTTGGTGGTCCCATGAGCCTCCGTCACCCAGAATTGTTTCAAGAGGAGCTTGATTTGCAAAAGCATATATCTTTGTCTATCCACAGGTAGCAGTCTCAGATTGTGCTAGTAACAGGGGCTCTGCTAGTCTCACAATGCATATGTGGGGTGAACCATGTCAAGACTCATATCAGAGATCCAAACTTCTCTATAATTTATTGTTTGCTGGTGCTAAAAAGATATTCATGTATAAATCTTTCCTGTAGCTGATATTCAGCATTAAGATCACCTTTTGCATGCGTTATATGTAATGTATGTATTTATTTATATGACTGTGTATCACCCTCTGTGTGTGTGTGTGTGTGTGTGTGTGTGTGTGTGTGTGTGTGTGTGTGTGTGTGTGTGTGTGTGTGTGTGTGTGTCTGTCTGTCTGTCTGTCTGTCTGTCTGTCTGTCTGTCTGTCTGTCTGTCTGTCTGTCTGTCTGTCTGTCTGTCTGTCTGTCTGTCTGTCTGTCTGTCTGTCTGTCTGTCTGTCTCTCTATGTCTGTGTCTGTCTGTCTGTGTTTTAGCATGTGTGAGTGTAGGGGGGGAAGGGAAGCATGTTGTTGTTGGAGTCAATGAATAGGACATACATGACTGCACATGACTTCCCAATTCCTTGAATGTTTAGGAAAAGTATGCCTTTCATTGTTAATGATATTGATTAAAAGCTATTATTATTTTTGTTATTATGATTAGTGTAATGTTATTACTATTAGCAGTCACAAGTAAAAGATAAGCTTGGTGACTAAACGCTTGTGGAGCCAGTTATGTGGAAGCAGAATTAAGAAGCTAAAATCACAGTGGATATGACATGTCTATCATATGCCATTCAATTCCTTTCCTATATTCTTTAAATTGTTAAAGTTTCATTCTACAAATTAAACATTTATACGGAGTATTATGCAGTCCCTACAAACATTTTCCTGATTGTCTTATGTCCTCATTATTGTGTACATATATAAGACATATATGACAGTTTTGTCTTCTTATATGTAATCTTACTTTTCTAATAAAATTGTTAGATATATTAAGTGTTTTATTTGTTGATATTAACTATCTGTTATTTATGCTAATTATTACAAGGCTTGTTTGTATATTATTATCATTGTTATGATTATTATTATTTAACTGTATTATTATTATTATCATTCTTGTCTGTTATGATATTAATATGATTATATTTCTTTGTTTCATTTAATATTAAATTTGTTATTATTATTATTTTATTGGATATTCTATCAGGACATACATAATTTTGAAACAAAAGATCTTGCTACCTGAGTTTAGGTGATAATCCTAATGGTCCAATTTTCAAGCTCGCTCTCAGCTCGCTAGCTAGCACTCGCTCTCTCTCTCTCTCTCTCTCTCTCTCTCTCTCTCTCTCTCTCTCTCTCTCTCTCTCTCTCTCCTCTCTCTCTCTCTCTCTCTCTCTCTCTCTCATCTCTCTCTCTCTCTCTCTCTCCTCTCTCGTCTCTCTTTCTCTCTTTCTCTCTTCTCTCTCTCTCCTCTTCTTCTCTTTCTCTCTCTCTCTTTCCTTCTCTCTCTCTCTCCTCTTTCTCTCTCTCTCCTCTTTCTCTCTCTCTCTCTTGTCTCTCTCTCTCGTCTTTCTCTCCTCTCGTATCTTCTCTCCTCGTCTCATCTTTCTCTCTCTCCTCTCGTCTGCTCTCTCTCTCTCCTCTCTC